AGAATAAGCCCCCGGCTGCGCAACCACAAAAACCGCCGAAGAAGGTACGCATCAAAGCCTCAAAGAAAGCGCAGCCTCAAGATGCCTCGCCTGAGGCGGCGAGTTCCTTCCTCGAGGGGGATACGACGCTGGTCAACACGCCGGAGCCAGGCAACAACAAGTTCTTTGGCGACAACAACGCCGCGTTCGAGGCCATCAATAACGGCGAACTATTTGAAGACTGGCTCGGAGACCACGCCGACCAAATCTCCCTCGCCTTCAAGTCTCCGCCTCAGCCTCAGGTCATGCCCCCCTTCGAAGGGCCCCCGCAGAACCTGGAGCAGATCCAGCAGATCGTCGGACAGGATCTGGTCATGACCGACGCGGACGCCGCGGCGGTCGCCGACGCCGTGATTGACCCCGAGCTGCAGAAGATAAGCAACCAAGCCGTCGCGGACGACAAATACCAGGGCATCATCAGACAGCACGTCTACCAAGCAATGACCACCTTCATGCAAGACAACCGCTTCATGCCCGTCGAGCTCCGGAACATAAAGCCGCCCGAGTTCACGACGGACCTCCCCGCCACCGCGCTCGTTCCGCCACCAGCGCGGGTTCTCCTGCAGCTCGAAAACGCACCCGCCAGCGCCGAGGAGGCCAACCGCATCCCCCACGCCAGAAGGCCCAAGAACGAGTGGGACAACCACGTCTTCAACAACCTCCTGCAGTGGAAGCGGCCTGTCTGGAACGCGCTCGCCTCCATTCCCGACGCGGCCAAGCAGCTCGTCACCGTGGACAACCGCAACCGCACCTGCGAGGAGTTCGACATGCAGCCGGTCACGGGCAACGTCTGCGGCGCCGCCGTGGCCAACAACGCCGCCTGCGAAAGCCTCGAGCACATGCCCGCGCGCCCGGCGCCGTACATGGTCTGCGACGGGTGCGACCTCAAGACCCGGCGCAGCCTGTTCATGGGCACGCAGCCGCTCAACCGGGCCGAATTCCTGCGGATGCGCGCGTACGCATGCCGCGAGTGTTCGGACCGCGAGAAGCAGACGGCGGACTTTGGCGTGATCGGCAAGCCAGAGCACCCGGTCACGGGGTGCATGTGCGCCGAGAAGCTGATCGGCCGGCGCGTGTGCATGCACCACCGGTTCCGCATGGCGCGCGAGCTGATGGTGCACACCATGTTCACGTCCGAGTGGGCGCTGACGAACTTCGGGCCCGACGCGTGCTTGTTCTGCAAGCGCGGGGACGACGGGCACAAGGCCGCCAAGACGGTCGACGACTTTATGAACCAGAGCCTGGTGTTTCTGTGCCTCAACTGCCAGGGCGTCGTCGTCGAGCCGTGGACCTCAGAGTTGAGGGATGGGATCGAGACCATGCTTGGGAACATCGAGCCGATGACGATGGCCAAGCAGGTTTGGAGGCCTGAGGGCGTGGACGTGGCACTGTTAACACAAGCCATGATCGTGTAGGCGGACTGCGGTGGACTCGCGGGTTAGATTTCCCGACGGACCTGTATATGGAAGGAGCATGGCGACAGGTTGACTCTGGGCGGAAGAGACGCCGTTGGTGTGTCTGGGTCAGGATTGGACAGGAAGGGGGGTTTCCCACGGATAGACTTGTTTTTTCCTGCGTTTTTGTTAGTGATACCACCATGGCGGTGAGCGATGAGAGTGGAGGCTTGCATCTGTGTTTCGGATGCTGGTGTTGGAAAAAGAAAGTAATTCTCGTTTTTTTCTGACAATTTTCTGGGCTGGCGGTTGGTGTCTCGCCGTGTTTTGCAGGCGGGAAGACGGCCGTTGAGATTTACTCGCATGAGGTTGGCTGCATTAGCTAATGAGGCTGTGCTGCGCAGGTGTGTGAGTGGTTGAAACTGACATCGGAGTTGTTGAGGGCAGGCTGAGAGCCACTTCAACGACCTCGAACAGGGTTATAGGTCTTGACCTCACTTATATCCATCTTCATTACCGTCCTTCACTCTATGGTCTTTGAGATGGCTGCGAGCATTCACCTGTTGTGATAGTATGAGATGGGAGCTGTCGCTCTACGCCTCAGCACTCAATCTTCACAGACAACACCAATGCTATTAAAGACGGTATTCTAATATCACAAGACTTCTTACTCGCATCAGGGCGTACACCATAGCAGCTATGCCGTCTCGTCAACATCACATGAACTTCAAAGCAGACGGAACCTCTGGCTCAACTAACGACAAGGGAATTTGTATGACTTGACCACTGACTCTGACCTCGAAAACCTCGCGGTGTCTCGGAAGAAAGAAGAGATTACAGGTATGAAAAGAGAAAAAAAAGGAGAGTACCGATATAAAGAAGAGACAGAGACAAGCCGATGATTGGTCTCAAATAGCCCTCCCAGTGCGTAAAGAATCTCGAGTCCGCCCCTCGTGAGGTCTTGCGGCCAACAGTTTCCGGGCCGACGAACCAACATGTCCGTTACCCTATTTTTGCCCTCCATGGCTCCTGATGAGGCCTCGCCAGAGGACCCTCATCTCCCCACGCCATCATCGTACAACCCAGGTGACACGGTCATGTCCATGAAGTTGCCCTTGAAAGAAACGCGTTCCAAAACAGCGCAGCAAGTCAGAACCCGACTCCCCGTCCGATGCAGCACAAACAAGTTTTTGATCATTGAATCCCGCGTCAACATGTCTTCTCGAGCCCGACTCTCCTGGGCCAGCTTGGACCGCCCGAGAGTCCAGACGGAGAAACCGTGCGTTCAGCATTTGCCAGCATCCACCGGCCAGTCAAGGTCCAGGTATTTTCACGTCCGTGGCCGCTCAGTTCGCCACTACCCCTCCCGCTCTCTGTCCGCAGTCGTGAGAAAACCGCTCACATTATTACGCACTTGGAGCAGCATCCTGCTTCTTGCTCGCCGCCCTCGACGTCCATGGGCTTCGGTGGGCCGTTGATGCCCGAGGCGCCGCCGCTGCCGGTCGAGTAGCCTTGCATCTCGCGGTTGTATCTTCGGATCTCGCGAACAATGTCGTAGAAAGCCTTGTCGACGTTGATGCGGGACTTGGCGGATGTCTCGATGAACTTGCAGCCGAAAGACTTGGCGAGAGCCTCTCCCTCTGTTGTGATGGTCAGTTGCCGATCGATGTAAAATTGGGATGAAAAGAATGCAGCGACGCGGCGCAGCAGCACATGAAAATCGTACCTTGTCGTGTGACTTCTCTCTCGCCCTCCAGATCGCACTTGTTGCCGACAACGACCATGGGGAAGTAGTCCTTGTCCTTCACTCTCAGAATCTGTTGCTGGAATGTGGTGATTTCCTCGAAGCTCTGTCGCGACGTGATGGAGTAGACCAGCAGGAAACCCTCGCCCGTTCTCATGTACTGCTCTCGCATAGCAGAGTACTCCTCCTGGCCGGCGGTATCGAGAACATCGAGAAGAGCGACCTCCTCGTCGATGACGCACTGCTTGCGGTAGGAATCTGCAATGAGGGTGGCGATGTTAGCACGCGATTGATTCGCGGTCGCGTATGGGGCTGAGAGCGACGAGCGACGCACCTTCGATTGTCGGGTCATATTCGTCGACGAAATGACTCTGGATCAATTGGATGGTCAAGCAGGATTTACCGACACCACCGCCGCCGACGACGACCAGCTTGTACTCCCTCAAGAACTGCGAGCAAGGGCGATGGGGTTAGCGAGCGATCTCCGGGGCGAAAGAAGGGAGGCGACGGGGCGCGACGACGAGGACGACTCACCTTGGAGGCCATTGTGATGTGTGATTGTTAATGAGGATGTCGGAGATGACGACTTGGTATCCTCGCGGCGTTTGTTGATGGCTTGAAGCGAAGATGTTTAGGCGACGCTGGAGTCCGGATGGCAAGTCAGGAAGAGCCAGGCGGATTGGGGAAAGGACCAGATGGCGATCGATTTGGCAACTGGACTCTTTGACGGATGGTCTCTTTCTTTCTGTTCGGTCCTCAGACGGGTTTGCAGCGAGCGAAACGACGGGTGGGAATCTGGGACGGCACAGGCCGGATTGCGAAGTTTAAAAGTGAAACGACGAGGTTCGATGGCAGGAATCCGGGACTGACAGCAGACAGTCTTTCGAGAAGGAGAACGAGAGAATGGGGTGGTGTTTCGTTGCTAAGGGGGGCTTTTTGGCAAAATGTGGAGATGGGGGGAACGGGTCGGTCCAGTGTCTGGTCGGTCCAGTGAGAGAGCAGAGAGGAGAGAGAGCGAGCGAGGGCGATAGGTGAGGTACCTTACCTAAGGTATCGCACGAAGCGGGAAGTGTGGCTACCCAGGGCAGCCCCCTCCACTGCACTCCACTGCCAGGTGCAGCTCACCACTCTAAGAGCTGCTAGGTGCTAGGTGCTAGGTAGATACCGGGGTACCTGCTCCTTCCACCCTGCCTGCCCTGCGAGTGCTCGCTGCTGCTGCTGCTCCTGCACCTGCAAGCTGCTGCACGGCGGAAATCGCAGTGTTCTGGGGCCTCTTTCCCTACCTAGCCACCTACCTCGCGGCAGCCAGCGGGTACCTTCCCAAAAGCCTTGACCTAGGTGACTTCCGCTGCCCAGCTTCCTTGCTTTTTAGGCCCTCCCACTAAGGTAGGTATGATGATGTACCTTGCCTTAGATCGTCAGGTGGGCAGGTACTTCCATCATTCCATGTCCCGACCCCAGCATCCGTCCGTCCAAAGCCTCTCTCTCCCTCTCTGCGTCGTCCACTCCCTCCTCTCCTCTCCCGTCCTGTCTCTCGCTCGTCGCTCTCTCTTTCCCTCACCTTGTCCAGAAACGGTTCCCTGTCCGTCTCGCTCTCGATACAGTGCGGTACCGTCTTGAGACACTGGGCTCCTCTCAGTCGGTGTTAATCTTGCAGGTTTCTGTGCCCCCCCTCCTCTTCCCATGAGACCTCATGAGACGAGACGGCAGACCCAATGCGCGCGGCTTCTGCCACACCAAGCGCTGCTTCGCTCGCTGCACCTTACCCAGGCACATTGACTTCCTATTAGTCGCTGTCTCGCCCCTCAAGTCAGACTGGGTAGATGCTGTTGGTCGGCACGCCCTCGTCTTTTAGCGCTGAGGCTATGATTTGACGGCTACAATTGCAGACGGTCCAGGCACGCTCGAGGCGCACACCCACCACGCACACTCGCACACAACCATGGATACCACATGTGCAGTGCAGCAACAGCTCTCCTCTCACCACTCGCTGCTGTCGAGGTAGGATACACCAAGCTATGGGTACATACCTGACGGATATGTGACAATCGATAGGCATCTGAAGGGTGGAAGCGCTATTGCGACCATGGCGCCAACAATAATGCCCAATTGACTGAGAGCTTGCATGGGCCGAGCTCCGAAGAGGGAGGATTCAGGATTGGGAAAGGGGGGCTGGCCACGGATGCTGGCATGGAAATGAATGTGAATGGAACATTGGAGATGCGAGATTGGGGGTTGAATTGCCAGTCACTACCGAATGCAACCGCGTGTCGCCATGCTGATGAATGGCCTGCCATTTCCAGATGAATCAGAGTGAGAGGGCCACCAGAAGAATTGGACGATTTGTTGTAGGTACGGGTACCGAGATGGCTCGAGTGGAAAATGGCATTTGACGACCGGGGATGAAAAAAAAAAAAAATAAAGAGCAAAAAAATAAAGGGACTTTCCTGGGCAAGTTTGTCGCGGCGGGCTTCTCGTGCAGTAGCGTCGGCAGGAACAGGGGGGGCCTGGAACCATAAAAAGAGGCCCGGCGCAGACGCCTGCAGACTAGACTCTCACTCAGCGGCGAGTGGGTGACTGCGGTTCGCGCAACTCGAATTGGGAGATGCAAGTGAGAGAGGTGAGAGATGGGGCATCCCAAGGCGCGTGGTGATGGACCAAAGACAGGGTCAGATGCGGTACGTACCGATCTGGCAGGGGCCCAACACTCAATGAACTTGCAGCGGCAATTCCAAAATCGGGACAGGGGGCGGAGAGGTGGGGGGTATGCGCTTATCAGACACATGCCTACTGTGGTGCTCTGTACACAGTATTACCTTACTAAGGTATGAAGTAGCGTCGCTAGTATGCATCTAACAGCTGTTGAAATCGATAATGCAGCCTGCCGTCTCTTCACCCAGATCGCGATGCATGGAAAAAAGAGACAGAAGCACCCTCATCCTCAATGATGCAACAGACACTCCCTCCTGCGGGTGACAACGTGGCGCGACAGGGACTGGACTACGCACTCGGATCCGCCCCCAATTCTTCAGTCATCTCACACTATGTATATGTCCCCCGTCACCGCGACACGACAGCAGTTGCAGCAGTACGGATTCCAAAAAGACATATCGCATCCAGTCGTCCTACAGCCCCACCTTCGCTGATTGCTTTAATAACACGCGAGGTGAGGTGAGGTGACCTTCCTCGGTTTCTGCGTCCGTTCATCTCACTCTACTGGTGACAGAGAGCGCTCCTCATTACCGCCTTTTCTTGCCCTCGTCTGGGGTGCTCCTTCGCTTCGACTTTACCAGCGGCCTGAGTGCCACCTGGAGGAATGGAGGCGGAGGCAGCAGAGACGAAGGGAAGAATTGCAACCTGATACGGCTCTCGTGCGACCTGCACGCACTCGCCCACCGAATCACCCATGCCGGAGCCGTCTCGTCATGGTCAGCATCCGTCTTCCAGAGACACCCTGCAATACCACACACAAAGAGCAGCTGCCATCGACTCTCTACCATTTGGAGGTGCTGACCACTGCGGAGTACGGATAGAATGAGGAAACATTCATCCAGGGCTCAAGGGCTTCCCGACCCATCCACTCTCCCGTGCCTTGTCGATTGGCGATGGCCTGGGGCGGGAGGTCGGGGGCATGGCCGTATGTAGCTAAAGGGGCACCCGCCTTATCCCGGGCAACCTAGGTGTGGATACCTCAAAGAAGAGCCTTCCCTGCCATGTCTTCCTTCCCTGTCTTTTCTTCCTGCAGCAGCCAGGAGACGAGAGCTCTGACCAAACGTGCTTTCCATTTTCAAGCTGGCACTGTGCGTACAGTGTGTCACAGTGTGTCGCGACTTCTCACGTCGTCTCGCCCGGGATCACTGATGCAACTTCTCTCCCGCTGACCGCGGATCAACACCACGAACAATGATCCAAAACCACAATGCTTGACACCAGTTCAGGGGCAGCCCAGGCCAGACCTTCATCTCTTGCGGTGGTGGTGGTGGTATCGCCGGCTACATCGATCGAACCCTCCCGAGGCAAGCGGCAAAATACCAAGTAAGGTATTGGTGGCTAACCTTACTTTGCACACGAACATGAGCCAAGTTCTGGAAGCACAATCAAGGCTCGACTTTCCCAGGTTCGCCCCAACATCGTCCAAATTCGCCTCGTCGGCCCCTTGGCCATCCTGGAAATCTCGTCAAAACCCCCCTCGCCGTCGCCAGCATCTCGAACCTTGTCCGCTGTCTCTCAATGCGTAAAGAGCCTTGGGAGCCCCCAACAAGCTTCAACCGCTCCCTGCTCCTCGTCCCCGGTACCTGCGCCAGTCGTTGCTTGCTTCCACTCGAATCGCCACCACCTGGACTACGGATCCATCTGCTTGCATCTGCTGATTGCCCTCCTTCTCAATCTCGCACCCTCACCTCACCACTTGAGCCGCCCTCTGCATTCCCCACGCCCACGTGGATGTCCGTTGTGCGGCTGACAACCGCGACAAGGTTCGTCACTCTCGTGTTGCCCACACGGCTTGCGCTACGAATATTACACGATCCCGCCCAGGGCTGGGATGCCGTCTTACCGATCTCGTATGTCAACTGGTGGCGATCGTGTTTGCCCAGCCCGCCTGTGAAGCCAGCCTCATTCCAGTCATTCCTGGCCTGTCATCCCGAACCGGCCCCTCGTCAGAGACCGACAAAGACGGCTTCGTGCCGACGGCCTGCTTCAAGCCCTCGAGCCGCACCCGGCAATGTGACAAAGGAACTTCCACGACGTGCCACGGCTGCAAAGATGCAAGGGACGACGCATTGGAACGCTCAACACGCTCGCCGACTCTTCCGCATCGCGTGCCACAGCCCGTCTGAAGTTGCCTTGTGTCGATGCAGGACGGCGACGCGGACGGAAATGCAGTGCAACTATTTGATATGCTGAGCGTTGTCACGTCGCGAACGACTGCCCGTCGTGAATGAGATTACTTTGCTGCCTCGGGCAGTAAAGTCCGAATGCGGCCACTCGAGCAACACTCGCGAGGCTTGGATCTGCTCAGCCATCGCCCCTGACTGCACCGCAGCATCAACACGGCCGCGTGCGGTCGAACCGGCAGAAGGGAGAAGAACGAAGCTCGTGCAAAGAGGACAACCCTCCTGCATCGGAGGCCACTAGCTGTTGTTCCAGGCTCCTGGCTTCTACCATGCTAATACCAATCCACGCCATGCGGCGACCATGTCCATCACCAGAAACACCAGCCTTTGATTTGATATCAAAGCCGATATTGAAATTCGATACCGGAGTCGGCTTACAACGCCGGACCTACCTGCCCACCTTCGGATACCGTACGCAGCCCCACACCACACGGTACGGCGGCGGTGATCTACACTTCGCATATGATGCTCTCGGTGCCCGATGCCTGTCATCGACGGGGTAAATAACTGCAGCCATTCAACTTCCTCCAAGCTGCTGCAGTTGATTAGCGAGCCATTCAAGCTGCCCGTTTCAACGGCGCGACAGAGCATGGGCTGCTGCACCCCATACAACAGAAGTGCTGGGCAGCTTCTGTCATAATTCCTAATGACACAGAGGTCGAGCGTGCGTCTGCTCAAAGCCGCATAGAAGCAATGGCGCGTTGGAGCGTGCATGGATTGTCAACGTCAGTCTGGTAAACCTTCGCCGCAACAAAACCTCAAACTCCAGACCGGAACTGTGTAGCCTTCAATGACATCCCTGCGGCCATCCATCCGGATATCGGCCATTTTCGCCTCGCCCTGACATCTCAACTGTGCTGTGCTTGGCTGCCAGAACGCCTTGACTGCGCTGCGACTCTCGTCAGACAGCCGCCAGCCACGCCTCGTGAGCCGTCAGATCTTACAAGCCGTCGTCCATGCGCCGCCCGAAGGACGTCCAGTTCGGTGCGCGCTTGCTTTCAGACCATCGAGCTCTGTGATCGACCATTCATCACGATGGCGTTGTTGACTTGTGAAGAGTCAACAACCCAAAGCCAAAGCGCCGGAGTCCATGATCCATGGCGCTTTACATGCGTACGGCTGCTTTTCCATTACTAGCCATCACAGCCGGTAAGATAGCGCAGATCACGACCTCGAGCCCGTCGACCAGCATTCGCGTCGATCTCTCAAAGAGCTGCGCTCAGATCTCTTCCTTTCGCCCTCTCAACGAGTTTCCCATGCCATGCCTTCAAGTGGAGTTACTAGGGGCAATCTCAGGCCATGGAACTCTCGGCAGCCATCTGGGGATGACTGTGTAATGTACACCCGAACAACGCTGCAGGTCACCACAAGCATGGGCCGCTCGCCATATTAACAACCCTCTATCTGTCGCCAGCCGCGCTCCACGAAGGATTATCTAATGAAACAAATGTCTTTGAACGAGCGTTGGCCCACAATCTCTTCGTTTCACAGGATCCTTTAGACATTTGACAACATTTTGGCCTGGACAACACTATCGGTGCCCCGGATTCGGGCGTCGGCACTAACACGAAGAACGACCTAGCGCACTTTTCGAGACGACAGGGGCCTGCTGAGATTGCGTTGGCTTCTAGAAGGCTTGGCTCTAAGATCAAGCCCCAAGACGGTCAAGGCCGCGACGGATTATCAGGAGCACTGCCATGTTGATAAGCCCGATGGACAGGAGGCGTCCAGAGCTGCCACGCCGTCCTTTCGTCCGCTCCAAGACCGTCGCACAAGCATCGGCCTGGCCACGAACCGTGCTTCATCTTTGGCTCCTGTGGTGCCCCGACGGAACCATGGGAAAACGACCTCATGGTTGCCGTAACGCACAGTGCGACAAGGGCTGGAAGAGATGAGATGCCCGATAGCCAAACAGACGGACAGCCAATCCATGTCTTTGGAGGTGACAATGCAACGACTGGGTTGTATTCGCAGTCTGGCCTCTGTGGAGCATGAACTGACCTCCCATCACGTCTTCACATTCGGCTGACTCGATGCAACAGGCATAGCGTGGCCGAAGCGGTTGCCAGAAGTCTCAAGAGGTTTCCTCCCGTGCGAGAGAGCAAGCCGTCGATAAGGATCCGCAAGAAGCGGCCCCATCTTGCCGTCACGCGACGGAGCCACAGCCA